GTTCTAAATCCTGTATTGGAAAAAGTAGTCTTCTTATCCTATTTTTAAAATTGTGTAAGAAGTATTTAAATATACATGAACATGCATTTAAATGACATGTACATCCTTTTAAAATCGTATAAATTCTGTGGCTTCACAGGGGCTTAGCTCCCCCCCTTGACCCCACCCGGGGCCCTTTGGCGGACCTCTGGACTCCACGCCCAGAACCCCCCCTTGAAGCATGCTGGCTACGGGCCTGCAATGCTTCCCCTCCCTCGGTATATATGGAGCTATAAGATAGGTAGACATGCAAATTATGAGCCAGTTTGCTTATGAAACCGTGGAATCATAATGATTGGTATTGTGTGTGACGTGTGTGTATTGTTATTAATAATGTACACTTAGGCCTATGGGTCTGTTAATGGTCTAAAGACTTTCATTTATATTCTTGTATCCAAGTTATTTCACCGTCTTGGCCGGGATATTTTGGTCGCTGCCACGGGGTTGTGGTGGAAGGAGCGTCCTTTCGCCACTCCCGTAGTATCAGATCAGGAGCCATAGAACTATAATATGCGTGTACATTCAATCGAAACTGATCAATATTCATCTGTACGGTCATTGACCTCCACTTTCAAAACATGAGACTATAACTGAAGCGTCTCGAGCCCTTTGCTCTATTTATTCTCACTCACGTCACGCCAACACTGAAATAAAGCGACAGCTGTATGTTTGTCATCCTTTTTCATAATTTAATTTTTGCTTATCGTACTCAAACTGTTATATATCATTATTAGAATATGAAAAATACAGGCCTACAATAATTCGAAGATATTCGTATTACTTGCATAATTACAGTACTTATATTTTAAAAGACTATGGTATGCTGTTGTAAAAGCTAAAAAAATCGATATTGGTCCATGCTCCGAGGATTCCATCGTGTACATTAATATTTGTAACTTTCAGTTCCACCACGGCCGAAACCTATAAATATAAAATACAGTAATATAAATATATATTATAATGATGTTATGGATGGATGCAAGTCTGTAATACTGTCTCGATCTAATGTAGTTAATATGCAAAATGCGTGCCTCGCGCCTCTACACAATGTTTACACTTTTTTGTTAAACAAATTAAATATTTCTACTCTGACGTCAATCTACTTACCTCCTGGTCCAAACAATGCTGAATAGCATGGTTTGTTACAATACGGCTTTCCATCGTGCTGTAATAGTAAAAAAGAAAGAATTTAGTGTAATGTTCTTTGCAATTATCCGGTACTATTGTGTTGGAATTGGATAACACAAGCTACACTACGCGGAACGATCAACTTATGCAACAAGAGTGCTCACGTAGGCCTACATCGACGCTCCGATATACGTGAGCACTCTTGTTGCATAAGTTGACGCACATCGACTCTCCGATGTACGTGAACACTTTAATGCAACAAGAGTGCTCACGTACATCGGAACGTCGACTCGCGATTTTGTTAATTTTTCAATTTAATTAACTAATTGCTGTGATTGAGAACATCTCGACGTCTAACTACAGTAGCAGGTCTTAATCCAAATGCAATATCGCTAGTGAATTATTTCTAAGAATCAAATCTACGAATTAATATGTTTTAATGGTCGTCAAAGAGCAAGATTTTTTAGTATAGGCCTACAAGTATATTAAAACAACATAAAGCATAAAATAGCCTATAAGTAAATTACAATAGCACATTATTAATTGTATAATATATCATAAGGCCCTATTTTAACTCGTAAACAAATATTCCTAGATAGATACGATAATTTATATTTTTTGACTTATGCGATTTAATCGGACCGATGTTTAACCCTCATGAGAGGCAGTATTTGTTAAGGAGATTTCTCACGAGAGGGTGAGAACCGGTACGTAATGACGTCACTCAGTCATCTGCGAGGACGCAGTTGGCCAGTGAGAATGCTCGACGTCCTATAAATCGAATATATGAAAAAAACAAAAACACATACTGTAGGCCTATATGCTACTCACTTCAGCATGTGAACCGGAGGAAAGAGTTTTCTTACACTTTTCGCATTTCAAACAAGGTCGATGCCAGTCTTTACCCAAGGATGTCACCTTTTCAGCTGAAATAGAACAGTGAAAATATCACATTTGTGTACATTACAGTATTGTTATTCGTTATAATCATAACCATTCTTATTATTATTCTTCTTTTCAACATCATGTACTGTCTTTTTTTATTCATCAATTTAATAAACATAAACACAAACAATAACAATAACAGGTACAATGAATAATAATAATAATAAATAATAACAATAACAAAAAACAATAACAATAACAACAAAAACAACAACAACAACAATAATAATAATAATAATAATAATAATAATAATAATAATAATAATAATATAAATACTTAAATACAAACATGATGTAAATGACCTCAATGAAACTCCAAGGAGTAAAACGTATTTTTTATTTTAAATAAATCTTAGATAAAAGTTAACAACTAATTTTTAAAAGCTAATGTAACAAATCATATAGGCCTAATCATTATCATTACCGTACTTATATTATTTTATTATGGATTAGTTATTTATAGTGCACATTTGTAATTTTAAAAGAAATCTAATGAGATCTCGCGAACTGCAACCCATCGGGGCCCACGCGACTTTCTGGCCCTAGTGGCTTACTGTTCCTTGCATAAAACTTGGCTCCACCCGACTAAAAATATATTTAGCAACCCACGTAATCTTGATTAAACACCATTATTATATAAGTAAAATGACATCCATGCGGTCGCTTACGTCAATGATCTAGAACTTATAACCCCAAACCATTCCCAAATAATTATCTAACATAGTCTCTATTTACCGATGGTGACCCAAAACAGCGGTATGGTAACATTATCCAATCTCCTGTTTCGTTGATTTGCGACTACAAAACTGTTAACCAATTATGGTAGGTCTAACTATAAGTAGGGTGTCTATGTTGTATTGCGAAGGGCAAACAAAACAGAGGTGTGGGATTCTCAACAGGTGCCTAAGGTCATCAAGATAGTGGGCTAAACGCCTTTTGATATTCACACTGCAGTGAGTTCTGTATTTATAGTACTGTACTTCAATTTTCACGGAGATGCAGAGCTCTACGTGGGCAAAGGTTGACACAAATGTCATTGTGAACCTGCACAAAGCCAACTTTCAGCTTCGTAGACACACAGGTAATTACCATTGATGCTGCCGAGCCTTCGAGGTTATTATGTTCTTCAAAACAATCAATTACCTTGACAACACAGAGTAGGATTATACCAAAGATAATAGTATATTTTGCTTATAAAATAGCAGCTAAGAACGGACAGAAGAAGCACCGAAGAAATGGTCAAACCCCAGTAAAAGCAAATCTCTAGTAAATAAATTTATCTCTAAAAAACCAAATCATCCAACGCGCGCCATTTTAAATCGCATTAAATGCCTTCATATCACGTCTGCAATATTGTCGTATCGTGGGCGGTTGTTTGGACAATATAAATGCATTCACAAAAGTAATCGGAAACGAAAAAACTTCCATTATTATATGTGAGCATACAGTTTTTTTGCGACATTAATATCGGCTCTGTCGAATTTCCATATTGATAAAATTATTTCGGGCCGGTTGTTTTTGTAACCGGCCGAATGAATATTATAAATTAGACTATCAGATAGAAATTGGTTCAGTATTTCCCGGGGATGTGATGTATTGAGGCAAAGGTGAATACACCAAACCTCAGCTCGTTCCAGGGATTCACATTCACCAACAGAAAGACTGTGATATCAGCTATTAAAATAAATCGACAGTGAATAATAATACTCGTTTTTTAGGCACGCATAAATCGGATATTGGCTTCCGTTGTTTTTCCAACGGCATCGTAACTTAATATGTAAATCCTATCCAAGGTTCCGGTATTGAGTTATTGTACTACTGTAGTTATCTTAAAAGCCAATACAGTGTATAAGACCTGCCCAAGCTAACCAGGCCAACTGGTGTGTGTGTGTGTATGTATGCATGGAGGTATAAATGATGTATGTATATGTATATATATATATGTGTATGTATGTATGTATGTATGTATGTATGTATGTGTGTATGTGTGTATGTATGTATGTATGTATGTATGTATGTATGTATATATATATATATATATATGTATATATATATATGTATATATATATATGTATATATATGTATATGTATATATATATATATTCATATATATATAATAGAAAGGTATGTCAAGCGTGAACTTACTCTACAACTGTTTCATGCAGTAGCAATCTTCAGGAGTGAATGGATAGGAAGATAATGGAGGTATATGAGGTTCAGCAGGTGTATATGCTAATTTTGTTACGTATTCTTGAGTAGGAATTTGTTTCTGAGTCTGCATTTTGAAAGCAGATCTGTTCCTTAAAATGGTTTGTTTGAATAAATTGTGTGACATTTCTCTGTAAGGCAGAGATTGCA